CTCACCTCTCCTGCAGTTTTAGCTCTCTCTGTCCATAAATAAACCCCTTCCTCACAGGCTCTTGGACAATGCTGTCACTAGGACAGAGTGTCAAGCCCATAATGACTATCAGGATAAGCACAGGCCGAAGCCTAACCTCAGCCTTTTGGGATCTTTCCTTCACATTAAGCCAGAGAATTATGTCAGTCTTAAAAACCTCTTGGTTGGGGGGAGAGGGGGAGAGTCTGGCAAGCTGTTTGGACCTGGCATTATCAAATCAGGTTCATATCTCTAATTGCAATCAAGCTGCAGGACCCAATTCCTTTGAGGAAGAATGAGAAGGGACACAGGCAGATAGGGAAAGTCAGCGGTCAGAGCAAGTTCCTTAGGATGGCAACAACTTGTTTCTAGGAGACATTCTGGTGGAGAGTGGCAGGAAAGAAGAGCCCACTGGGAGAGGACATCCAAGCAGGACCAATAAGGAGAAAGGGAAGGGAGGATCCAGTGACCATAAAAGACCCCGGTCTGTTCAGTGGGACTCTCAGCTCCGGGACTCTTCCCTTTCTAAAAGGGAGACGTTTGCTGACTTCAGTAAAGCTGTTTCTGCTGCTTTTTTCATGTTTTGGTTTTCTGTCTCCCAGTCAATCCTTCGCCTGTCTCATGAATGAACTTGCCTATTCCACTGATGACCATCCCACCCGTCACACCATGGATTCATCTGGCCTCCTACAGAAGTTCACGAGTACTACTCCTGTGAGCCTCTTGGAGCGCTCCATCAACTCGCTGAGGAGAATCAGGTGAAATCCACCCTCACAAACCTCCAGAGCCTAATGAATAGACAAGACTCTCTCACCTTTCTGGGTCAAACAAATTTAAATTTCATGTTGTTTCTTTTATCCACTCCATGTCCTACAGAACACAACAACCCCATTGAGGGAATTCATCCTGACCCTGTTACACCATGGACACATCTGAAACTATGCCTGAACCGAGGTTAAACATTCCTAAAAGTTACAACTCACATCTTTACTGCAGTTTCAAAGGCTGCCTACCTGCTCTCAGAACAATGGTAACAACATTGCTGGACTCCGTACTGGGTTTGGTTATCTTAACTGCCTGATTCCTATTGTCAGACTCCTTACCTGCCATATGAAAATCCCATTACTGTGTCACTTTTAACCATTCCACATTCTGTTATTCCTGATCCTGCCTGAAACATCATCTTACCACCTTCTTCTCCAAGAGTCTACAATGTCGTCAGTCACCACAACTAAACCCTCATGGAAGACTGCAGATTTGACTGCTCTTACATCCTAATTGGACTGTCGTCTACCCAGCCAGTCCAAGAAAATGGACTCTAGAACTGGAGAGATGGATCAGTAGTTAAGAGCACATATTGCTCTTACAGAGGACCACAGTTCTTTTATGAGTTGGCGAATAAACATCCTTAACTCCAGTTCCAGGTATCTGATGTCCTCTTCTGATCTCTGTGGACATTGCATGCATATAGTGCACTTATATACATGAAAACAAAACACTCATACATGTAAAATGAAAATAGGATATTTTTAATAGACTCAATGAACAGTCGTCCCCCAGAACCATTTCCAATGGACCCCTATCTTACTGCACTTATCACCCTTCAAAACACCCATGGAAATTGATAATCACAAATTCAGCTTCCTGAATCTCCTCACTCCAGTTGTAAGCAGTTTGATCAGATGCTGGCCACATAAGCCAGGCTTCCATTTTAAAGCCACAAGCCATAAGGAAATGGATGTTCTCATGGGGAACCTTTAGTCATGCACCCTCTCTCTTCTGTAACACAGAAAAGAACAAACTATCTTTAATGAACCCAGTTCCAAGACAAAATACAAAGCTCACAGGTAGTTTACTTCTAGCACAACTGATACAATGCTAAAAAAACCCCCTCAATTTGAGGTACAAGAAAAATGGTCACCTGTAAAGTGTTCATCACATAAACATAAGGATAAGAAACTGGATTCCATGGACTAAGCAAAAAGCTGGTCACAGCACACATGCCTCCAATCCCAGTGGTGAGGAGGTGGAGGCTACAGGAAACATGCTGGGATGCTGGTCTAAGGGAACTGGTGAACTCCTTGTTCAGTGAGAGAGCCTGTCTCGATAAAGAAGGTGGGGCGGGGGGGCATCAAGAGAGCTCAGTGGGTAAAAGTACTTGCCTGGCAAGCTTAGAAAATTTAGTTCAATCCACAAAACCCACATAAACGTGAAAGGAGAGAAATGGCTCCACAAAGTTGTCCTCAGTCCTTCACAAATATGTCATGGCAAATGTGAGGCCATCCACACACATGATATCCAATAAGGAGGAAAGTTACATGGAATCACTCAGTGTTGACCTCTGGCCTCCAAAAACATATGGACACATTGACACATACCTGAATTCAGATGAACACATACACAAGTACAAACACAAAAATTCAATCAGCTCTGAGAATCTGCTTTGAGTGCTGAACTCTCTCCCTGGAAAGAACATAACATTCTCAGAAAGCTCTTCAAATTCCTTCCCCCTCCAATAAACGATAGAGTCCTCACAGACCACAAAGAGTTCAACTCATAGTGAGAAAAAGAAACAGCCTTGGCTCCACAGTCATATTGCCCAGAGTTTGAACCCTTATTTGCAGTGGTTTTGATTCCCCATTTCTTTCCTGTCTCAACTCACTCCTTTGTAGGAATGACTCCTTTTCTGCCTAGATGTGGTCACATGCCAGAACTTCCCGTGGGGGAAATCACTCCTCTATCAGCTAACTTCACCTACATGTGCACCATGGCCTTCCTCATACCCAACATCCAAGTTTCCCCTAATAATCAGCAAGCCCTTTATAAGATTTCACCTAAGAGCTCTGCTCACCTGACGCCATTCCTATGGTACAGTGGCATCATGTGCACATGGGCACAGGAGTGGGTGAACACAGACTGGCATCTTATGCTTATCCTACTTTGCCAGCTGAGTTAGCCATAGAGTATAACATATCTCAGGAACCCACAAGTCCCTTAATGATCAAATTCACCACAGACTGGCATCTTATGCTTATCCTACTTTGCCAGCTGAGTTAGCCATAGGAGTATAACATATCTCAGGAACCCACAAGTCCCTTAATGATCAAATTCATCCTCTTGTTGTAGGAATCAAAACCCACTGTGCCTCTGTTAAATGTAACAATAAAGAGATAATAGACCAACAATGATCAGTCAGGAAAAGGAGAGCTGACACGATTCCCTTCAGGAATAAGGTTTATGAGGAGAAAGGGCCTAGGAACTGTGATGGGACCTAGAGATCTAAGGCTTCCCTTTAAACCTAGAGGGGACTGAGAGATGGTTCGGTGGCTCAGAGCACTGACTGCTCATATGGCGGACCTGAGTTCACATTTCTAGCACCCACAGGGCAGCTAACAATCATCCAGAATTTGAAGTCCAGGAGACCCACTGTCCTCTTCTATTCTCAGCTGGCTTTGCAAGGCATGGGTGGACTTACATTCATGCAGGTAAAACACTCATACACATGAAATAAAAATACAAAAATTTAATAAGGAAAAAAAAATCTGGAGAAGCGACTGGAGAGATGGCTCAGAGGTTAACAGTCGATTCCCACCAACCACATGAGGCTACTCACTACAGTATGTAACTCCAGCTCCAGGGGGACGATCTCTTCTCCTCTGACCACCATGGACACCTGCACTCATGTGTGCACACAAATACATAAATGCACACATAATGAAAAATAAAAAATCCACAACCTGGAGGGGCATTTCATATAAATTAAGAATAAGTAAGATTGGAGGCGGGGAGAGGGGGAGAGGGCTGGGTTTGGGGATGAAGAGTGGTCATCCAGTTCATTCCAGGGTACAAACAAAAAAATCAGACTTTGGGGAAAGGGGGGGGAGAGAGAGAGAGAGGAGAGAGAGAGGAGAGAGAGAGAGAGAGAGAGAGAGAGCCAATGAAAGCAATGTTGGTGTGAGGCTAGAGGAGCCTCTTCAAGGCCACACCTCAGTCCTCAGAGACCAGTCACAGAAAAATGCCCTGAGCAATCCCAAGAGCAAAGGAAATATCACACTTTTCTAAGTTTTGGGTAGCTGGCATGAAGTTTCAGATCGTGTGATTTAGTTCAACATAGCTTACTGGACAAAGAGCATGCAGGAACCTGGGTCCATAATTTAAGGGCTGTCAAGTCACAGCAGACTGCTTCTTACATGTCTGGGGAGAGCAGCAGGGAGCAGCAGCAGCCAAGGTTTACTTCAAGAGAAAGCAAACGTGGAAAGGAAGGACGCACTGCAGAGTGGAGGGCGCACAGAGCCGAGGGGGCTGCGAGGGGCTTCCTCTACTGTGCGGACTGTGAGTCCTGGGCCACATCTCTCCTCCCCTGCCCACCCCTGGGTCCACAGTGGTCCCTTCTTGAAATAGTTGGAGGCTTGTTTTGAATAACTTTTTACCCAAAATTCAGTGTTAAATTAGATGCAAGAATATGAAGAGAGCTGCCAACGTCCATATTAGATAAACTTGCTAGGGGAAAAGGAAAAGGTGTCTGCACGTGTTCCTCGGGGAGGAGCTTCATAGGGGTCAGGGAACCTGTCCACACCGGATGCTGTCTTCCCACCCCGTCCTTTCTCTTCCCTACACAGCTTGCCCATCTCCTACCCAGCTGCAAGCCCTCTTCCTGTCCTTTTCTCAGTGTCCCCACCTTGACTTTCAGACTCTACTGTTCACTTCCCCTAACACTCGTCCACACAGCACAACAGCCCGATCCCGCTCTCTGCACAGTCCCGACACTGAAGCTGCCCGCGCAGGCGGAGCCTCCCGCTCAGTGCCCGGCGCAGAAGCAGCTGCATCAGGAAACGCCACAGGCGGCCGCGCCGGGAACCTGGTCGCCGGGACCGCACAGGACGCCGTCAACTGCCGCCCGCCCGGGGAGGACCCAGCACAGCCCGCTCTGGCGGCTCCAGCGGCCGCTGCTCCGGTCTGCACACAGCCGGCCCCACGCTCACCATGGCCGAATTCCGGCTTCGCCCGCGCTCCCCTCAGCTCCCCGCAGGCCGCTCACAGCGCACTGCCACCTCCTTCAGTCAGTGAGCCAAATCCGCTGCAGACCCCGGAACATGGCGACCGTTAGAGCCCGCCTCTCACCTCCCGTGGGTGCTGCTGATTGGGCAGCACGGCCGGAAGCCCTGATTCGCTAGGCCCACCTCTGATGCCTAAGTGACAGGTGGGGCTAAAATGCTGGAGAAGGACATCTCTTCCTAGCCCTGGCTTCCTCTCCAGGACAGACCCTGATCAACTCCAGGGGTAGTGGCATCCAAGCAGAACTTACTCCTGGCCTGGCAGAGCAGCTACTGCTGTCTTGAGAAACTCACCAGACACTTCCTGTTCTTCCTTAGGGCATATGCACAATTACACAATGTTCTATGTTGTCCCCTTTTCGTAGACAGAAAGGCACCCAGCCCACCTTAGGTGACCTTATTGTTGTCCCTAGAGTCCAATGTCCTCCAGGATCTGGATTGTCCACTCAGGCACATTAAAGATTGTGTTAGAACTCAGGCCTGCTCTTTAAGAAGCTGGGCTTTCTAAGAGGCCAGCTCTCACAGCCTGACAGAGCCAGGTGTTGCACAGTACTGTCCTCTGAAAGACACAGACAGATGCCATCTTCCTAAACTCGGCTCCACCTGCTTGCTTAGGATCATCCCAGCTAAGGTTGTTGACTGTTATGCTGAAGAAAGGAGGGACCGGGAGAGTCTACCACACCTCCCAACCAACTGGTCTGGTCCTAGGAAGACCTGGAGAGGATCTCTCACCCTATTGTGTGACTGTGGGAAAGTCACAATCTGGGCCTGGATGGAGACTTTCCAGTGCAGCCTGAGGAGGGAACACTTACACTCCTATAATTAACCCCTCACCTATTGCTCTGTAAGTAAGCCCAATAAACTCACTGGTTCCCTAAACCGTAGTTTGGTGAAATGGGGGGGGGGGGGGCACCGTGTTTACACCTCGCAAGCTTCCAGAAGAAATTTTATCTATACCAGGCTATGCTGCCCCTACCTGACACTCCTGCAGTTCTTTTGCTGAGACACAGTTAAGACGCTGTCTCTCCTGTGGTTTCTAATTTATGTCCTACTCAGTACCTGGCTCCTCTATTCTCATTACATAGGCTATCTCAGACTAAAGCACATGGTGTGTAATTTTCTACTACCCTCTGAAATGATAGAAAAAAAAAGAGTCATATATATTTCTTTTGTTTTGGGAATTTCTCTGAAGTGTCCTCTGGGCTACCCCCCCACCATACACATATACATACACACTCACATCACTCTTCTGCAGCAAACTTCCCTTAGGTTGATCTGTCCCTCTTAATGAAGCGCCTTTCCATATATTAAAGGGAAGCCTCTCCTTCCCTTTAAGGCTCCATTCATATTTGCCTCAGACATACATTGCACTGTTCCTTTCTAATGCTGTCCCACCTTGAGCCAATTATTTTCTGAAGGCCCTTTGTCCTAATGTCTGATTCCTGATGGGTAATTTTGTGTTGTGTTTTCAGAAGCTAGTAACCTCTTCTCTTTTTCTTCTGTACCTAACAGATTCCTCACCCCTTAACACTCAGGCTGGACAATTTAATCCAAAGCAATGCCACCTGCCAAGTTGTTGTTGTTACATACACATATATAACACCAGATTTCAAGGGGAATAAGCAGTAGAACCAGGATTTCAAGGTCAGCCACTACTACAGAGTGTGCTACATGAGATCCTCTCTCAAGTCAATAAAGTCCGTAACACATACCCAATGGGAAGATGATTAATATGTGTCAAATGTACACTTTATAAAAAGATTACAGAAGTGAATCCTGAAATAATTAAATGAATAAAAAGGATATCACTCTGAGCAAAAGTTCAGTTTTTGAAAATATAAACATAATTGACAAACCCTTAGCTTTTTGACAGTAATAATTCATGTAGACTTTCAGAGTATAGGCAATTGAGAATTTACCAGAGTTGTTAGATTCAGAGACTTAAGTCCTGGAAATCCTAACATACCAGTCTCAATCATCCAGCCTCAAAAGCCAAGGTAAACACACAAGTAATCATGAAAAGCATAAAAAAGATGTATTCATTGAAACCACATTGTGCAGAGAAGCGAAGAGGAGCAGTAACCCCCCAAGTCCTTTTTCATGGGCCTCCATCATGCTGTGACCAGCACAGGTAGAGCCCCTCATCCCACCAAGCCTTCCTCACCACAGCAGACCATACCCTCAAACTATGAGCTAATATGAATCTTTCCTTCTGTGACTTGCTTTTGTCAGTTAATGTTTAAGAAGAAGGCAATAGAAATGCGTGACTGTGGCCTGGAAAGGCGGCTCGGCAATTAAGAACACTGGTTGTTCTTGCAGAAGACCCAGGTTTGAATCCCAGCACCCACATGGCAGCTAACAACTGTCAATAACTCCAGTTCCAGGGGGATCTAACAGCCTCTTCTCACCTCTGCGGGCACTGCACAACACAAGTGCACCTACCTACATGCAGGCAATACACGCATGCACATAAAATTAAAAAAAAAATAATTAAAATTTAAAAAAAAGAAAAAAAATGTGTGACTGGGCAGTACTGGTCAAGGAGTCATCTGTAAGGACATTTCCAGAACTGAGATGGGAAGACCTACCCTGCATGGGGGTGGCCACATACACTAGGCTCTGGCCCAGCCTGACTTGAAAGGAGAAAATTTACAAAGCACTAGCATTGGTCTATCCCTGCTTCCTAACTGGAGAAGCAATGTGACTGATTTCCTCATGCTCCTACTAGCAGAGGTAGAGCCCCTCTCATCACCAAGCCTTCCTCACCACAGCAGACTCTACCTTCAAACTATGAGTTACTATGAATCCTTCCTTCTGTGACTTGCTTATGTCAGTGTTTTTTTCACAGCAATGGAAAAGTAAATAAAATAGAATATTGGTACTAAAGAGTAGGGTCTTTACTGTAAGAAGTCCCTCACAGAAAGGGGTCAGAACTGATTTATGGCAAGAATGTAGAAGAATTTGGGCTTGCCAACTACAGAAGCCTTAGAATGTTTTAAAATATTTCCTCTATTAATTTTATTTTATGTGTATGAGTGCATTTCCCGCATGTAAATAAGTGTTGTGTAATGCCTGTGGAGGTCAGAAGAGGGTGTTGCATGCCCTGGAACTAGAGTTAAGGGCAGTTGTTAGCTACCATGTGGGTCCTGGGAGCAAAACCTGGGTATTCTGCAAGAGCAGCCAGTGGTCTTAACCACTGAGCCATCTCTCTAGCCCCCTAAAATGTTTTAAAAAGAGGTAAATGAACAATTTTGTTAGGCGTTTCAAAGACCAGAATGCCTGGAGAAATGGCCTGGCTCATGCAGTTTCAGAAGATAACAATGTTCTTTTGCTACGTGGAATGCAAGCCATTGCTTTTATATTACAGCAAAGAATGCAGGTGCATTCTATCTTTGCCCTGAAAATGAGCAGATTGAATTAAAGAATAAAGGACTCATGTAATTTGCAAAGGAAATTTCAAGAGGCCCAGTGACCCCTCAAGTCCTTTCCCTGAGCCCTATCATGGTGTGTTGTACCAAAGTTCCAAAAATGTGTTACATCCTGGCAATGCACTTCAAGGACAACTTTTTGGGAATGAGACCTGGAAATACCATTGCCTGAAGCTTTATAGGTGAAGCACTAATTGCAGTGGATAGTACAGGAAGTTCAAAACACCAGGATTGGGGGATGGTCACTGACAAAAGTTGTTGTCAATGACTGGAGCTGGGTGAAGAGAAATGTCGTGCATACTGTAGTTGACAGAAATGCCGCATGGCTGTTGAAGTCAGAAGATTGCGATACAAGCCGCACATGACAGAAATGTAGTGGCAGAATGTGGTGTTTTTCATGCAGATGAGGCCTAGTTTTGGCCCAGTATTTCCTTGATATATCTCCTTTTCTCCATTTTGGGCTAAGAACATTTATAGTATGGCATTATGTACTGGAGATAAGTAACTTGGTTTTTAGTTTACAGGAGCTCTGAGTTAACAGATTGTGTTGAGTCTCAGAAGAGACTGTGGGATATTCAATATAATATTCATTATTAAATGACCAATAGCTTTTAAGGCCCAAGGATAAAATGTTATGGTTTAAAAGTGTTGTGTGTTGCTGTCATTTTAGAAGGGGTGGACTTGGGGCTGGAGAGCTGGCTCAGTGGTTAAGAGCACTGACTGCTCTTGCAGAGGACCCAGGTTCAATTCCCAGCA